TCCCTTCTGGAAGATGGTCGGTAAAACTTATGGGTTCCACCAGAATATCTTTCCTATTATTCTTACTGTTTGGCAAAGCAAAGTTCGGCCCTTTCGAGAGCACCTTCTCAGTGGTGACATCCAGGGCTGTTTTGGAGAGGTTTATCACTTTCTCACCAATTATCCTTTGCTCCCTATTCTTTCTAATATAAGTATTTTTATTTGCATTTGTCTTGATTCCTATACCCAAATTCCTAAGTTTCTTATGTCTGTATCTAACCTGTGGGAAAACAATATCATACAACCTCTTCGCCATTCTTTGCAATTTAGAGAAACCTTCCGAGCTAAGAGTGCTCGCCTGTGACTTGTGTAATCTAGTTTTCCTCCTTATCAAGGAGTTTAATTTTATAAAATTTTATTGGGTCCTAATCTTAACTAAATCCAGGGATGCTCTTCGGAGGACTCGCTTAGTCAATTAATACAAAACCTAGGAACAACCCTACGTAAAAACATACTTTCAAAAAAAACGAATATGATAAAGTTGCCGGGCTAGTAAATTTTTGGTCTTAGAGTAAGGTGATGATTCTTGAAAACATTGGTATCCGTAGGTATGTAAAAAAACTGGGTTTTGAAGAATTCCCTAATAGATCTATGTTGGAGTACCTTTGATTTCGTTTGAAGAAGCGAGTGGAAGGAATTCGTAAGTTGGTTCCACCGGAGGTTGGGGGGGATTGACTTGGAGCTGTGGTTGTAGATTTGTGCGAATAGATCCTCGACGCACCGGCCTGTGACCCCGATGAATCCTTGCTGAGCTTTCGTCCGTTATGTGACGGGCATCATCACACCATGATATTAGATGCCTAAATTGGACCATATGAATGAGGGAGGTTTGAAGCTGGCTATCTTTATTGCTTTCGTGTTTTTGGCGAATTATCGCTGACCATAGTGTCCTCCTCTGACGATGTCCGTCATATGACGGACGAATGTTTGGCAAAGATTCATGGGGGTCACTGGATGGTGAGCCAAGGACATATTCGCACAAATCCACAACCATAGTTGCAAGGTGACACCCCCACAGCCTCTGGTGGAACCAAATTACGAATCCCTCCCACTCGCCTCTTCAAACGAAATGAAAGGTACTCCAACATCAATCTATTAAGGGATTCTTCGAGGCCCAGTTTTTCTACATCATCAAGTCATGGGTTTGAAGTCTATGGAGAGGAAGATTCCCAGGCATTGGCATGGACATGGGCACCATAAACTCCAAATCCTCTAATATTGCGTAATCGATTAGAAGAAGTGAAGACTGTTAGGAAGCCAGATTTCGGATTGTCAAACAGGTATTTTTATGGTTAGCAACGACCAATCGACAAGTGGTGTAGAGCAAGGAGGGGCAGAATGAAGGTGAGGAGCCCTACAAGCGGCACTTGGTACCGGTGGTGGAGATGATTATGCTTAAATAATCCCACTTATTGCAGGACACTTAGGCTAGGTTGGAGGAAACGAGAACACATAATTATACTAATAAGTGGATGAGTGAGTGAAAGAGATAGAAGACTAGAAGCTAGAACTAATAATAGTTGCAAGGAATTATGCCACACTGGTTGAAAAGAATATTGCCCAAAGGGATTGCCTTTACTTTTCACTTTGATAAGTTGTAACTCCGGGCTAACGATGGCCCCTCTGACGATGCCGACGAAACTTTTGGAAATTTACCAAATCAATTGTTTGATACTGGCATTTACGAATACTATGGTAGAAGACATAGGACTAGGTCTCCCTGACGCTCCTACCAAGTTTTGGGAAACGAGGTCGAACCAACACTATGAAGCTAAAGGAGACTGTGACCAAAAGTGGGTCACGCCATCTTGGTCTTCATATTCTCGGTCAAATGGAATTAAGTTTATTCATCTTCTTATTGTCTTCACTCTTCTTTTATTTGTTTTCAATGCCTAAATTCCTTAACTTCTTATCATTTTATCACCTGTGGATCTTATCCCTTTTTTCCGCT